CTACAACAAAATCCATTTAATTTTTACAAGAATGCTATCTACAATCCAGTGGTGACTGTGTTGTCTCTGGTGGGCCAAAGTGCTCAGAAGGCTGCTCAGGGAACTCCTACACAGCAGAATGTTGATGTGGGAAAGGTGTAAAAAGCTTTTCCTGTTTCCACTCGTTCAAAGGAAAGGCCACTAATAAAAGAAAGCTTTGATGTTTTCATCTGAAATTCAGTTGGGTGTTAATAAACAGAATACTTTATTGTGCTTTGACAGACAGTTGGTCATGTGAAGATATTGGATGGGAGTGAGTAGGAAGCTGAGACTGGCAGGAGCATTTTTTGATAGAAATAATTTAAAGTCTCTATAACGAACCAACCAAACAAACAAAAAACCTAATCAAAATAAAAACTATCACTGTACCTTTCAGAGAAAGCTTGAATCAGAAGGATGAGCTACGCAAAGGGATACTCTGGACGGTCTCCAGGACAAACTCAATCAGTAGAATAGCTTTTGAAGCAACAGAATTTCGTACGTCTTCTGTTGTCTAATATGGCAAGTGATAATTTGAGAAATCCTTTGCAGAGTTTCTGTCATTTGTTTCAAGTTATGAAGTATTCCTGAAAATGCGCAGCCTTGGAAAAGATAATTTTTGGAAGTGATGTTGGAGGTTTTTAGACAGTAAAGGTTAAATTTCCTTAGGAGAAATGGTACTAAGGATCACATACATTGTGAATGACATTGTAGAAGAAAGGAGAAGAAAAATTAAGATAAAAAGGTGTTATTATGATCAGTACTGTGACAAAAAAGGTCAGGCTATGATCTGATCTCATTTCCTCACTAGTCTCTTGGGATGTTTAATAGATGTTTAATAATTTGCAGAAAAGAAAAGCTTATTGACTACCTTTGTTTGGTATTCTTGTTCATACTGCTAACATTTGTTAGACATTTTAAGAGTATCTACTTTTGATAATGAGAAAGGAGAATGGTGTGTGCAGGGCCATGCATGGATGGTAGGTAAGAGGGGTGAAGCCCTCCTATGAAAATAAGCTGAGAACTGGGGTTGTTCAGCCTGGAGAAGAGAATGCTCTGGGAAGACCTTATGGAGTACCTAAAGGGGTTCTACAGGAAAGCTGGGGAGGAATTCTTTATCAGGGAGTATAGTGATAGGACAAGGAGTAATGGCATTTAATTGAAAGAATGTATATTTGGACTAGATATTAGGAAGGAATTAGTTACTATGGGGTGGTGAGGCACTGGAACAGGTTGCCCAGAAAAGCTGTTGATGCCGCATTCCTGCAAATCTTTAGAAGCCAGGTTGAATGAGACTGGGCTATCTGATCTAGTGAGAGATGTCCCTGCACATGGCAGGGCATTGGAATTGGGTGGTCTTAAAGATCCCTTCCAAGCATTCTGTGATTCTATGACACTATGATAGGCATTTCTGTTTGAGACCTGGTGCAAACAGTATTCTGCCTACATCCTTGCTGATTTCACCTTCTCTGGCACTGAATTCCTACTTGTACATTCTGACGTGACTTTTAATTGTTTGCAATGGGATGATTTTTTCCAAAGTCTGTGTTTAGTCTACTCTAAATTTGATGTTTTCCTCCAGAACTAGTGCTAAGCCTAATTACTAAGTTCTATGTTCTATATTACTACAGGTAATGATTTCGATTAGGCATGCTTTATGACGTTCTGGCTAATTTTTGAGATCAATTCTCCACTATATTGACATCCAGCACACTTACTGGCCATCCTTCTTGTGTTCTGGACAAAGTGAAGAATGCTCTCTGTTTCTTCATGTCAGTTGTTAATGAAACTATGAAACAGTATTAGATCTAGAACAGCCTTTTTTGATCTGTATTCAATATTGTGAACGATTATAAAAAAAAATGAGTATAAACATTTTCAGCTACTTTTTTTATTGCTTACCTGAGGTAACTTAATCTAGCCTCTAAATTTGCCTGCCTTGATGGAGAAGTAGTTTATCTTTGGCTTGTTTATATGCAATGGTTTTGTTCATTTGACATTTTGGTGTCTGTGACTTGGATTCCTTTAAAACAACACTAAATCTGAGGTTCTCCTCCATGTATGTACTGAAATCTCTGCAGTCCTCACAGAGGCTGGTGGGGTCCAAACTAGTGGTTGGTTCTTTAGGTATCTTTGAACACATACTTCCTGTTGCGCCCGTTCAATCTGTGCTGAATTACTTGTTGTGCAAGCACATTTTCCAATCTTGTGAGACTATCATGTGAGACAACTTTGAGAGTCTTATATAAAAAAGTAAAAAATACTGGCTTGATTATGATTCCACAGCTGGGTTACAGTGGCTTAACTCCATTGCTTTTATGTTTTGTTTTAACATACAAATGTTCCTATGTGTTCTGTAACTGAAGGAATGTGTATCTACAAATGCTTAAATGGCCTCTCGATATGTTATGGGAATTACAAATTATCACATCAGTGAGAATTCTGAGAAGTAGGATTGTAGTCTTTCTGTCTGAAAACTGCCAATTTGAGCATAATACTTGACAAAACTAGTTTTTTTTTCTAGTTTTCTTTTCTTTGTCTGCTTTTCAATCAGGCAAAGAATGCGCCTAATAAGACAGATCTTCTATCTATATTGCTCTCTGAGAAATATTGTCACTGGTGGGATGTCTGTTGCCAGCTTGTAGGACATTATAAGAGCTGTTCATAGTTATTGCTAATAAAATGAATTCTATGATCTTGTAAGCAGCAGGAGTCTGTAAAATTTTTCATAGTATTTGTCGCTGTGGGGCAAAGAGCCAAAGTGCACAACTGAGGGAGACAAATGAAGGGAAAGGCAAATTAAATCTCCCTCCCCTCAATGAAAGCTTTATGCTGTTTTCAAAAAAAGTGACACTTTCGAACTAGCATAACTGGGATAGTGAAAATTTGTGAGAAGAAAATTTTGCTGAGCACTGTCCTAGATACAGAGCTTAGTGCTCTTCTAGCATAAATGGGTAGAGTTCCATTCCTGGAGACTCTGCTGATTTACACTAGTTATATTTTTCTTCATGGTGCTTCCAATTGTCCTTTCTGACTAAAAACTTTCGCTGTATTCTCTGGCTCTTTGACTTTCTGATAGATGCATATTTGCTTAGTAGTACTTTCTAAAAAATTGAGCATTTGAATTTTAAACACTTTTATCGTATTTTCTGATTTATTTATTTATTTTTTGTCTAATTCACCTTCTGTGCTCCTTGCTAAGCTGAAAGGATGCATTACAGTAATGGCAGAACCTCTAGTGAAAGCATCGGGCTCCGTATATATTTGTTATTGATATACCCAGAAGTTCCTGCTCTCAAAAGAGTGTTGGCACCTGTAGCTACAACAGCAACAAGACAGTGTTGCAGTGTTGCTTGAGGAAAATTATCATCCTGTGTCACCACTTGGATAAATGGTGAAGTCCTCCTCAAAGCTTCTATGTTTCTCATCAGTCACATGGCACACAGGCACATCAGCCTCACACTTGCCATAACTGGACTAAGGCAAGCAGAAATCTACCTAGGTGTTTGCACAGACAGTGCTGTGTGTGTAGGTCCAAACCAAACTGTAACTTTACACGATAGCCTCTGCAGTAAGGATGTGACTGAGTTATTTAGTAAGAACTGTGACCATCTGGGGAGCGATTGAGAGCCGGTGAGGCTGGAGATTTGTCTGGAATGACTGATGAGTTGTCTGCGGTGCCTTTCAGAAGAATAACTTTGATATAAGGAACAGCTTAGGCTGTTGAAACTGATCTTCCTAGATCTCTCCAAGGGGAAGTTACTGATTTAATCACTTGACTGGCTTGTGTCTGATCGCTGATTCATATGGTGAGGGCCTTAATCAAGACTAAGGCCTATCAATACATTCTGTATACATGCTGCAGTTGCTTTCTCTTTTGGGGGCATCTTTCAGCTTCAGGAAGTGAAGTGGCAAGCAATAAATGACTCTGTTTTGTACAATTTTTGATGAGTTGTGTGGGCCAGTCAAAAGGCAAGAAATACTTTTGAGAAGGCTTTGAATGAATACGAGTAGATCTCTGGTTATCATCTAATTGAGAAACAAGTCATCTCCTTTGTAACATTTTAATTTTTTCAGTTGCTCATTGTTGCTTGTGGTTCTGGTTCCCAGGAGTTGGTCCCATAAATCTCCATGTGAAAGTAATGACTTCTATTCTGATTTATGTAAGATGTGTTAAGATATGGAAAAAATAATAATAATAATAATAAAATTCCCAGAGTAGGCCGATTTGCAAAAGTCGTCTTAATACAGTCAGGACTAAATATTTGCAGGTCTAGCTACAGTCCAGATCCTTCTGGCTTGCATTTCTTTCCACATATTGGCCTAAAAGATTCTTTGTTGGTTTGTTCTGTGGGCAGCCTCAGGATTGTTAATTTCTTAATTTCTTAAAAGCAAATATTTTGATCAGTACATTGTATACCTCCAGAAATGTCTATTTGAAATTCAAGAGAATCCTCACGTGGAAGGTCTTGTCATTCTTGTATTTGTCTACAAATGTATGTGTTCATAGTAATGCAGCATGAAGTCATTTGTCCTGACTCCTTATTCAGCCTCCCACCATGAAACAGCTGGTTATGAAAGAATACAGAAAACCTGTCTATAGCAGATATCAAGCTACTGCTTTCATTTCACCAGTAAGGATTGTGCCACACCTTCATATATTTTAATGCCTGTTTAATAGAGTTGACTAGTGATCATAGGGTTCTTATGATTGTTAGAGTGTTTTAACTAAATAACTTCATTTTAACAAAGATCTTTGTACCCTTTTATGTACCAATTAAGTACACATAAGGACATCTGTAGGGAAACTACATGTTTCTGTGACATAACTACAGTTATGTCACAGCTTCAACTGGTGATTGAGTGCCTGATGAAGGGGTGTGATTGGCCCAGGGAACACAGACACATTGTTTGCACCTGTGCTCCCCACCTGACAAGGGGAGGACCCATGGTGGAGCCACCCTGGGCTCATATAAGGGCCAGCCACTGAAAAGAAATCTTCTTTTTGATCTACCCTGCTGTGTAGGAGTGCTGTGTAGTCACAGAGTACCTTCACCAGTTGGGTGAGTTCAACTCTTCTCTCTCTATGTGCTTATGAGCTTATCTGTGAATACTTAGCATGGTATTGCCAAGAACCTGTCAGAACCAATTTTTCCTTTTTTTTTTTTTTTTTTTTTGTGACCTGAACAATACCATATCAAGTAATCATGCCTTATCTGTGTTGTATAATGATAAAGGTAAGAAAGGTTGCTTTAACAGATTTAACAAGACTCAAGGTTAACTAATGAAGCTGGGAGTACTCTCCTCATATTATAGGTCACTGCTGGTTGAATCTGATTGGAACCCCAGTCTGATGTGTCTGAAACTTAAGCTATAGTACTGACCCGTGGTAGTCACGACAGACTAAAGAGTCTTGAAACAGCAGTTGGCACCAATATGATGACAAGGTCGATATGAAACTGAGTGTGATCTTTGGATGGCTGAGTCATACATGTGTGTATTTTCCAATCATTGCTGAAACAAAACTACCAGCACCATAACAAACTAATAACAACCAAAGCAAAACGGCTAAACCCTCGAAGACTAGTGCTGCACTCAGTGAGAGTGGTAGCACGTTGCCTGTGCTCCATCTCCACCTTCAATTCAAAATGGCCTCTCATGCAGCAGTATTTATGCCTTCTTAGATTTTGGCTCCTGGAGTAGTGTTTTGCAGTTTCTGGGAAGAACAGTGAGAAACGCTGCATTACTAACTATTGATTCAGCAAGGCCTAAATCTCCACAACTGTTCTCTGGACATTGCTTGTTTTAACTTGAACTCAGCCTCATCGTGTCAAGACACTGCTGCAGTCCTATTTGAGGCTGTCATTGGATATGCATGCACTATGCAATGAAGTGTTGGCGTCACTGCGTTCTACAACGTACTTCAAGACATATCAGCTTTGATGTTGTAGAAGTGAATCTATGGGGAAGCAGAATTCTTTTCAAGTAAATCATCTTTTTCAGTGTTTAAATCTTTATGATCTACAGCACTATATGTGTGTGTGTGTGTATATATGTATATAAAGAAGAATATAAAGTATATATATATATATATAGGCAGTCTACTTCTTTCTAAAGCAAACAGAAATGACTCTATTTCTTACTTTGGTGTAAAACAGCGTTGATCCCATTGGCATGATTGCAGTTACCTAAGGTTCTGGTTTTCAAGGTGAAGAAAAACACCTTCAATCTTCATTGCACTCAGATTCCTCTCAACTGTTAACTGCTAACTTTGTCACCAATGCTGTGTTTGTGGACAGTGGAAAGCAGTGTGCATCACTAGCATGGGACTCATTTCACTTATCTTAAAAATCTACTTAATTCAGGTTGTGGTTATTAGACTCACTAGACGTGCATCGACTCTAAGAAGAACTTAAAGTGATTAGTAAATGTCCACACTGCACCTTTCAGTCATCAGGTAAATGATATTTCCAGTAGGTGGGATAGCTGATTCCATGTTAAGTATGAAGATAACAAAGGAAGCTTAGGGAGCACATACACAAAGATATAAAGATAGGAACCTGATGAGTTTCAACAAGAGCAAGAGTAAAGTCTTTAACCTGGAGAAGAATAACTGCATGCATCAGTACAGGCTGGGGCATGATCTGCTGGAGACGAGCTCTGTAGTGAAGGACCTGGGTGTCTTGGCAGACAACATGTTGGCTGTAAGCCAGCAATGTTCCCCTGTGGTCAAGAAGGCCAGTGGTACCTTGGGGTGCATGAAAAAGAGCATTGCCAGCAACGGAGGGAGAGAGGGAGGTGATCCTCTATTCTGTCAAATTCAAAGTACTGTGTGCAGTTCTGGGTTCACCAGTTCAAGAAAAACAGGGAACTTCTAGAGAGTCCAGTGGAGGACTGCAGAGATGATTGAGGGCCCGGAGCATCTCTTATACAAGGAAAGGCTAAGAGAGCTGGGGCTGTTCAGCCTCAAGAAGAAAAGGCTGAGGGGGATCTCATTACTATTTATAAATATCTAAAGTGCAGGAGTCAAGTAGACGGGGACAATTCAGTGGGCTGCAGCAACAGAACGAAGGGCAGAAACTGGAACACAGGAAGTTCCAGCTAATGCATGGAAGAACTCCACTGCCAGAGGTGATGGAGACTGGAACAGAATACTCAGAGAGGTTGTGGAGTCTTCTTTTCTGGAGATACTCAAGGCCTGCCTGTGTGACCTATTGTAGGGAACCTGATTAAACAGAAGGTTGGACTCGATCTCTAGAGGTCCCTTCCAACTCCTACGGTTCTGTGATTCTGTGAATGTCTGTTAAATTTTTTTGCACTCCTATTTCTGACCTCATGTATTTTTCATAGTGCTGTCATTTTTACCTGTCCTCAAAGTAACAGGGGAGATGTGTTAAGATATCAGGGTATACAGAACAAAACACATCTCCCAGTAACAGATCTCAGTTCTGGTTGCCTCAGCCTGTGTTCTCCTTAGGCACTATCGTTTGCAGCAAGTGTTCATCATGCCTGAAAAGCAGACTGTTTCTGCTTGGTGTCCTCTGTGCATTTCAAATGCTCTTATCTCATGCTTATTATGGTACTAGGCTTTGTATTGGAACATGAAGTGAAGCAAACACTCCATTTTTACTAACCCAGAAAAAGGATTCTCTCCTTTCCCTCCTATCTGCAAATCAGTTTTTAGAAGAAAAGGCTAGCACATTTTTTTGGCATAGAAACGCTTCCAGATTGTGTCTTATTTCTTTGAACTAGGCAGGCTAAGATAATGATATAAGGATAATTATATTTTATGCTTCAAACTGAAGCTGATAGGGGAGAAATATCCTTCTGTGTGGAGCTTGTACATCATGTTTAAAACATCTGTTATTAGCTGAAGCCAGAAAGACCTATGCATGTATTTAAAGAATGGAGAATGAAACCTGCATTAAAGAAAAACAAAAAATCTCTTTCCTCCTTATATTAGCTAATCTGATATTTTAGTTGCATCAGCAGTGAAGATGCCTGTGACGTGTCCCGTGCTAATCTGTTTTATCAGTGTACCAGAAAGTTAATTCACCAGATGCTTCAAAACATGCTGTTTCCAGAAAAAGATAATAGCATAATTATCTTTTGTCCAAAAAAATCCATCAGTGGTCCCAAAAAATGTCTTCAAGAATATTTCCAAGAAAAACAGAAAGTTTCACTAGGAACAGCCTTCACCAAAAAGGAAAGGAAGTGCAATGCTTTAGACTGGTACTCCAATCATTCAGTTCTATGTGAGGGGGGAAAAAGATTAGGATTTGAAATCATAGAGTGGCCTGGGTTGAAAAGCACCACAATGATCATTGAGTTTCAACCCCTCTGCTATGTGCAGGGTCGCCAACCACCAGACCAGGCTGCCCAGAGCCACATCCAGACTGGCCTGGAATGCCTCCAGGGATGGGGCATCCACAACCTCCTTGGGCAACCCCTTGAGGTGCGTCACCACCCTCTGTGTGAAAAACTTCCTCTTAATATCTAACCTAAACCTCTCCTGTCTCACTTTAAAACCATTCCCCCTTGTCCTATCACTATCCACCCTTGTAAACAGACATTAGGAATTGAGAGACTGTTGGCTGATAAGATTCATAGAGGGAGACTGTGGTGGGACTATTTATACTGTGGCAACATCTTTCTCTGAATCCTGTCGCTGTTTCAGAAGCTGAGTAACGATATAGTGGAGGTTACTTCAAAATAAGTTATGAGACATATAGTTGCACAGATTGCCCACCTTTTAGGTTTTGCACAACGTAAAGACATACAAAGTAAACATGGAAAGTGTAGTGAAGGAACATGAATATGGAGACTGTTTGGAACTTTGGAAGAAGCCTTCCTCTGAATGCCTTTTCTTCTGGGAATGCAGCTGGAACCAGAGCATGCCATAGTAAGTGTAAAGACTTTGTTGGCTTCCAGCCTTCTCCTGGGACATGAAGCTGCAGAATTGCTGTGTGACGACTGGCAGGACAAGACTAGCACAATGCTAGTGGATTAAATGAAAGCCATCTTTTGGAAATGAAATGGTGGATGGTAATCTGTTGTGCTGCACCTGAAATATCTGAGACAAATCCTTTCATTTTTATCTTATTTCACTTAGAATACTCTTGGCACAGATCCTTTCATGAGTGGGAACTGAAGCAGCCTTAAAACTTTATGTTAGTAATGAATGAATTCCTCTGGAAGAAGGTGTTTCGTTCCTTTGTTCCTTTGTTCCTTCACCCTCCAGAATAGGTTCTGAAAAGCTCCAGAGATTTTGTTTTCTTTCTTGTCCAGTCCAACTAATAACCGTGCAGAGTTCTTGGATAATTTCTTATTCTTTCCCATTGCTGAACATTTTATTTTTTTATGCTTTATTTATGAATGTCAAGTTCCTAAAGGAAACTGTGCTAAGTAAATAGCTTGCAGGTTACTAACAGATTTTAGATTTGTAAGAAGAGATGGAATACAAAGATTACCAGATGCTGGTAAGAAAAAGTCTCTCACATTGTTAGGATAAGAAGGTGCTCCAGAACATAAAGCTGTGCCATGAGAAATGGAGCTGGGGTAGTGTCATATCAGATATTTGACAAAGCAATTTGCTGATATGTCTCTTGCTGTGCACAACACAAAACTGAGCATTGGCAGAAACTCTTTGATTTAAATGATGCTCTTAGGTCCTCCTTTCCTCTGTGACTGGCAGTGTGACAGCAGCTGACTGATTAGCTAACTTGCTGATAATCACTTTTAGTCTTGAAATTACAGGGCTGTGTTTCTGGTTTTATTTTCCTTTGTTGTTATAGAACAGGCTAATAAGCCATGGAGAAACCATATAGGCCCCCATGCCCCCTTCAAAAACAAAACAAACAAACAAAATCCTCCAACAGAAAAAAACAAACAACCTTTGCTGAGCACTTGACATTCAGTTCTCCAACAAGCAGAATTTAGAATAAAAGGTTACTAACATTTTGGCACTGTATTCCTCAGGCTTTCTCTTGTATTCCTGCCAAATATCTCACAAGGCTCAGATTTGATTAAAATGGCAATGCTCTCTGCTACTTGAATGTAATTA